CTATTAGTGTTATCGTGATATAACATTATTAGTTTTTCGTAGTACGATCATTGGGGTATAGCGAAACTCCTGAGTATCATTCGGTCCTAGATATACTTTGATGCAGTAGTGTATCTGACTGTGTTCACATAATTTTTTCTATCTCTTCTCATCTGTATTCCTTCAACATTTGTCCTATTTAGTCAATCTTCTTGCTTACGTTTTCGCCTTCTACAACTCTTATCAAGGTCTGTCTCTATATCATGTTCATCTTGTCTCGCCTGTTACTAACTCCTCAGTTTTCTTCCCTAAGTACAATATTTTCCTTTTATTTTTTTTAACTTTCTTCTATCACGCGGAACATACCTTGATCCCACAAAGGAGATCTGGGTGTTTTTAACTTTTTTCATTTTTTTTCCTCATTAATAACTGTGATAGGGGGGGGGGGGGGGGCTCAGGTGGCAGCAGGAGGCCGGCCGCAGCGGGGGGAGCCCCAGCCCCATTGTCACTCCGCAGCCTGGGACGGAGGCCCCCCAGACGGGAGGAGGACTGGGCTGCGGCTGCGGCTGCTTCTCGGGAGGAAAGGACACAGAAACATGTGGTGCTGGTGGCGTCAGGAAGTGGTGTCATCCGTCCGGCTCTCGTCGCGGGCCGGCCTCCGGGGGGCCGTGCACAGCGACGTAGGTGGCCCGGTGGCAGCCTCCTCCAGGGTGAGGCGGGCGTGGGCGCGGGCGGGAGGCCTGCATGTCCACGCGGCCTGGTTTCCATTGGCACCAGGCCCGTGCCCACCCGGTGAGCGGGCCCAGGAGCAGCGCGCAGCATGGAGATCCCGACCACCCTGTGCGCACTGGCCGGGCAGGGTCCCCACTGTGCGCAGACCACTTAGTAGGGCAGCACAGGAAGAGTCCTGCCGAGACCGCCTGGCCCTGCTCGTGGGGTGGAGGTGGTGGGTGGAGGTGGTTTAGGCGAGACAGATGCCCGTGGCTGGATTCTGGGGCCTCGACTGCTGACCACTGCCCCTTCCCCTCCCTCCCTGCACAGGTCACGGTCACCACCATTGGCTACGGGGACAAGGTGCCCCAGACGTGGGTCGGGAAGACCATCGCCTCCTGCTTCTCCGTCTTCGCCATCTCCTTCTTCGCGCTCCCAGCGGTAGGTGCTCTGCATGGGTGTCTCCGCTGCTCGCCAGCCTCCCCTGGGCTCCAGGCCAGCAGGGCCCCACTGTGTGCAGGGCCCCACTGTGAGCAGGGTCCCCACTGTGTGCAGGGCCCCACTGTGTGCAGGGTCCCCACTGTGTGCAGGGTCCCCACTGTGTGCAGGGCCCCACTGTGTGCAGGGTCCCCACTGTGTGCAGGGCCCCACTGTGTGCAGGGTCCCCACTGTGTGCAGAGCCCCACTGTGAGCAGGGTCCCCACTGTGTGCAGGGTCCCACTATGAGCAGGGTCCCCACTGTGTGCAGGGCCCCACTGTGTGCAGGGCCCCACTGTGTGCAGAGCCCCACTGTGTGCAGAGCCCCACTGTGAGCAGGGTCCCCACTGTGTGCCGGGTCCCACTATGAGCAGGGTCCCCACTGTGTGCA